TTCTTAATAACACAATTTTTTTTAACACAATTTCTCTTGAATGAATGTAATCTTTTTATCTTACTTATTTGTATTAGCTGCTGTCCTTTAGAGATGATATTGGGGTTTCAGATTAATTAAACACTCCATTAGAATATAATGATTCAAAATCCAATGGAGAGATCATTTGGAGGACAAACAGAATTTGTTAAATGAGTTCAATAACCATTAGACTGCTTTGTTTCCACTTGCTAAATGCAGTCTGATCCATTGTCTCAAAAATGGAAATAGGCAGGATCCAAAGGTTGACTGGATAAATATCCTCTATTAAAATAAAATAGATCAATTGGTTCACAACACAAACAAAATCAAATAAAAAAGAAAATAGAAGAGGAAACTTGTATTGGAGAACCATCATCATCATCATCATCATCATCATCATCATCATCATCACCACCACCGAAAAGCTTTGATGACAAAAATGGCAACCAAGACCAACCACGAGCTGAAGCACGATGACAGAGTCACAGGTGAGAAAGGATGTCACTACCTGCACCACAGGCACGTTTCCGTGCAACACAGCGAAAGTGAGGGGCGTCGCCTGCCGCATTTCGGGAAAGACTGAGGGGTGCTTGTGCACTGAGCTTGGCACCTGGGGAAGGGACACAGGTAGGTGGGAGTGAGAAGGATGAGGGAGAGAGATATGACGCCATTAAAACCACTGCACGGTCTACGGAGCACAAGACAAGCAGTTTAGGGAGAGAGGGGGTGTGGGGGTGTGGGGGTGAGGGTGGAGGGGGGTTAGAAAGCTCTACAGGACCAATCAAAGTAATTAACTGGGAACCCTGGAGGCTGCAGAGGACACCGTGTCAGTTTGCTGGCCTCCTAATGAACAGGATGGATTGATCCTGCAAGTTAGGCCTCGTCCTAATGGTTTCACTGTGATCTTCGCAGTGGGTCTCTCTGACCCACCGACCTCTCTGAGGCTCCTCTCTCTGGTCAGGCTGCAGTGAGTAACTGGGAGCCAAATGTAAGCAAAACATACATGGGACACGTGAACAACGCACAAGGAGAGAGACAGGCACATGAAACAATAAAGGACTGGGATCTCATATGCAGATTTAGTTGAATTACCGTATTCGACTCACCATTATTACTTGCTGTTAACAGCGTTTTCCCTGAACTTTTTTAGCACTGCTGAACCCAGTGCTTACAAAAATAGCATAATTATTCCTCCTTTAAAATGGACAATTCAGTCTCTAGCTCCATAGTTAGGTTTTCATCTACATTTAAGTACCAGTAGGAAGTAGTAATTATTTTATTGGTACCCAATTCACAGAACAGAATTAAAGTGTCAATGGCAGGCGGCATTATAAAGTGATACCAAAGGCTCTAGGAGTATTTAAAGAGCATGGATTCCCCCCGAGGCTCCCGAGCTGTGGAAAGAAACATCCAAGCCAAGCAACATTTATCTTCAGCTGTTCAAATTCCAACTGGGTTCAAGACTGCATGAATAAAGATGAACCGATAGTGGGTATTTTTCTACTCAAGTTGACTGGGTGCTTTGTGCTTTGGCAAGAGGTCGTGAATGCAGTGGGCTGCAAATCAGTTCAGGCACTGGCGGCTGATGGGACCAGTGGTTGTTGCTGAGGTGCCTGGCGAAGGCCCGGGATGGTGACGCCTTAAATGAACCACCTCTCTGAAGGCCGCACGGTTAACGGGACGCCCTCTAGATTCTCTGCACACTACTTTGAGCAATTTCGGTTTGTCTTAAATCAGCTGATCTTCATCACTTTTTTTTCCATTACATTACATTACATTACAGGTCATTTAGCAGACGCTTTTATCCAAAGCGACTTACATTACACTTTAAACCCATGGCTTTTCACATTTTTGCCCGGGGAGCAATTAGGGGTTAGGTGTCTTGCTCAGGGACACTTCGACATAGAACATGGGGCAGCCTGGAATCGAACCACCAACCTTGTGCTTCCCAGCACACCTTCTCTAACCCCCTACGCCACGACGACCCCCTGACGATGAAAAAAAAATGACTCAGCAGCAAAACTCTGAGTCACGTCTCACGCTCTGAGACTCCTATGTGAGAGTTTCATAGCGAATGTAATTCTTAATCTGCTCCTGCGCTGCCTTATCCTCTCCCCAAGGCACAGCAGCCGGAGCCTCGTGATCACCAAACACTCAGCAGCGTGACACCACGTGGGGGGGAGAACAAATGAGGGGAGATGAGGGGCGACACGATTGGTTTTCTCCAATTAAATCCCAGCTTACAATGCTAACAAACACTCTCTTTATGACTAACTAACACACACACACACACACAGTACCAGTCAAACGTTTGGATGCACTTGATAGACGTGTACTCCATCCCGCACTGCGTCATCGGCACTTTACCTCGCTGTTTATATCCGCTCCGGCATCCAGCAGCATCTGCACCATGGCCTCGTCCCCACGGACACAAGCGTACATCAGCGGGGTCATCCCCTGCACAGGCACGGACACACAAAGAGCACTCGCATCATTCCACTACGAGTTACACGCACACCTTTCATTTGATCGCCAGCCGAAATTGCAGCAGCCTCCCCGCGTTTGACTTTTTCGCCTCTCCCTCGAGGAGAATCAGGCGCACTCGCACTCTGCTGTCCAGTCACGGCTCCACGCCGAAGGATCTTTGGTGGTTGTGGTGACTCACAAGCCCCGAGGCCCATTGGGGCTTAGCCAACTGTAAGATGTGTTCATTAAATCACACAATGGACCAGTGTGTTTGTGGCTGACGCACGTTGCGGAGGCCTGAACTTCCTGGTTTGAACGTTAGTTTAGCGCCATTTACTTTTTACAGAGCAAGGCCGAACTTTTACTCTAAACTTGTATCCTTGACAGCCTCCCTCCCGGCTCCTTGAGCAATATTCTGCTATTGATCTTTTTAAACGATGCCGCATGAATCAATGCCCCCCTCTTGTCCACCGGAGACGCTTGTGGGACAGAAAAGTACACTAAACTAAAGTTTCTGCTTTGATCAGTTTAAAACTCAATGTTGATTTCCATTGAAAAAGATGTGATGCGGAGCACCTTGGCAGGAAGGCTTTAGGAAACATTTCAGAATATAGTTTCAGAATATGTGTTGTATAGTTGTATTTATAGCTGCCTTTCTGCCCAAAAGGCTGCAGGGAGCTTAAAGGTGAAGGAGCCATGCAAGCAAAGTATGTGTGTGTGTGTGCGCGCGTGTGTGTGTGTGCGTGCTTGTGTGTTTGCATGCATTATTGAACATGTTGACTGTGTCTCTAACCTGCTCACTCATGCTGTTGATACCGTCAGGCCCCAGCAGGTTGACCGCCTGCTTCACCAGGTCTGTGCGACCACAGCTGAGCATACGGAAGCCCAGGTCCTGCAGGAACTTCGCTTCAGTAGAGGCGGCGTCCAGTTTCCTTGAGGCACAGAAGCAGTCATCCGTTCTGAAAAGCAAAACAAAGCAAAAGTGGTTCACAATTCAAGAGTACTGTTTTCATCACATGTTTCCCTTGAATATCTTACAAGTTTAATTCTAATTTGACATTTTTTACACGTGCAAAATAAAGAGGCTCGGGGGCTGCATAGGCGCACAGCCGTACCGCAGCTGACGGGGCTCGCAGTCCACTCCGGGAAGCAGCAGTCGGGCAGCCTGCCGAACATCGTCGCTGTCAACGGAGAAGCTGCGTCTGTGTTCTGTGTGAGCCACGGCCACGCGCACCCACTCCATCAGCGGTGGCAGCACCATGAACGGCCTGCAGGGAGAGATAGAGGTACACGTTTCTGGCCACGAGAGACTGGACTTCACGTCACGCTCGGTACTTTGAATGTGCAGAGTAAACCTTCAAGGAAAATCCATCTAAGGCAGAATTTGCATGTTATTTCAGAGGCCGCGGCAGCCACAGAGGGTGTTTGAGAACGCGGCGAACTCTGTCTGGCAGATAAAATCAAAAGACGCAGCGTCAAAGTCACAGGGAGACAGTTTGATGTGAGGAAGTGTAAAACCGGACCGAGATCATCATGGATCACAGACCATCTATCAAAAATCCTTATTCTGATATTTATGCAGTGTGTATCGATGAATCGTTATACACACTGCTCAATTCTAAAGACCTAAAGCTTGACAAGCAGAGCTTAACATCATCAGCCCCGTGTTAAGCTCTGCTGGTTAAACTGAAGAAGCCCATAACTGTAATGAGCCATGAAAACCCACACATTGAATTGCAACATATGTGTGATGCATATTCATTCATTTATGCCGTAAAATGTACTGCCCCGCGACAGCAGCTCTGCTTTTAATGTGTTTTGTACGACATCATTATGGTGACCATGATGGTGCTTTCTGTAAATATAATGGGTGATGAGTGTGGTTATTGCACGCCAACATATTTTACAGTGTTTATGACAGCTCTCTCTGTGCTTAATGTAAACTAAGGATTTCTTGGTATTTTGCAAACCTACTGCACACTTCCTGTCTCCTGTATCCATGCAAGCGTAAGATAAGTTTACATGTTACTGAGTGTTATGGATATAAATACACACTTTCTTCACTTATGTAAAACAATGAGCTGTCACAAATACATTGTGCAAATAAAAATAACTTTAATAGAGAAAAGGTTTAAGTTTACACAAATCTTTCCTATGTCATACCTCGCTTTAATATGAAACAGAATCAGGATCGTAGCATTAAAAAGCAGTTTGATTTCATAAGCGCCTTTGATACAGTTTGTTTGAATGTGTTTTTTTGTGAGACAGACCTGCCAGTCGATGACACTTGGTCCTGTTCCACGGATTTGCTGTGCAATACATCACTTTACAAAGGACGCCTCGAGGCTCGTATCTGCCACTCGTTATTAATTAGCTACTCATCGACGGTACTCTGAGATGACACTGGGCTCCTGTGATATCTGTTTGATCTACTAAGAAATGCAAACCCTTTTGTTGTGGTAACTTCAAAGCAGCTTGACCTGCAGCACCACGTGGCGTCATTGTCCCCGCAGACACACACACACACACACACACACACACACACACACCTAATCAAGAGTCAAGGGACGTATGACGACAATGCATTCCCCCAAAGGGACACATTCGCTCACAAGCAGTCCAAGGTCTGCTTTCCCCCAACGGCGGCTCTGGCAATGCGCTTAAATGTGAATAAAACAGACGCACGGTGTGTTAATGGGATTTCCTTTACAAAATTGTGATCAGAGCTAAAGCAGGCGTCCAGCAGGGGACACGCGCTGGCAGATCGCTGGCTTCACTGCGGGCGATGCAGTCTGGAGCCCCACAGAAGGACGACCCGGGCTCCGCTGTCGGCGCCGTTTCCCGCCTCTGACTCCGGCTGCAGGAAACACTAGACGGCTCGAGGTATCAGGGCTACAGCGGGATATGACGAGTGCTTTTTCAGCTCGTAAAACCCAGCAGAAAAAAAAAAGTGTTTCATATGTAGAAACTCCAAAGATTGAAGAAGCGAGGACGGCTATGTGGTGGAAAACTGGGATTGACTCCAAAAATGACATGACGAGGCCTCAGGGGACTTTACACCATGGAAACATTGCTTCGGCCGTATATCATTCATGTAAAAGTCACCAACGGTGGCAGCGATTATCATCACTGACCAACGGCCCCCTTTCTGCCGCTCCCCAGGTCACATAAAGGACTCCCCCCAAGCAGCCAATAAGTCCACAATTCACTTATATAAAACTGTACTTTCCTTCCAAAAGGAAAAAAAATAAGGTGTGCCATTTCAGAATTGAGCACAGAGAGTCAGAAATATAATAAAAGTCTGCAGAGGTGTACAGTTACAGCAGAACGATGTCTGCACTTCTCTGCTGGAGTAACATTACTTCTGGACAGCGTCTGGGATGCAAGTAGAAACAGTGGGTAATCTGCCGTTCTTCTATTGTTGTCCCATAGATAAGTTTAAAAATGGTACTGCCCTGCAGAACAAAATGAGGCGAAGGGGTCTAATGGAATCAATAGATTTGATGGGATGTAAACAATGATACTATAACTGACAACTTTCTCTTTTCACCAAATAGAATAGGTGAAAGAGTATAATTCAGTTACATAGTAAGCTCTGCCAACAACCCGTCCGTCAATGTTGATGAAGCCACTGTTAATGCTAAAACACTATATAACCCATCTATTCATCACCGTTTGCGCTGACATGGCTACAGATAAGGAGTAACATTAGCATTCATTTGAAGTAAGTTCAATGTTCACTCTCGTTTTAGCGCTCGTTTTTTGGTCTGAAACTGAAACTATACAGTTCTCAAAGAAAACTACTAGTTCAAGGTAAAAATATCTTCAAAAAATTCACAAGTATGTTCTATGAGTTGTTTCAATACAAAAATGTTGACTGTAACTATCACAAACGTGTAGCTTTTCCCATCATTTTTGTTGTGGCATTAACTTCTGTTTGTGAAAATGAGAATTTGTGCAGTTGAATTAATGCTTTCCACTCCAATGCTTTCGTCCTCAGTGCTGTTATTCTATTAGTTTCTGAAAAATGAAAAATGATGAGACCTTTGAGACTTTTCCACTGCCCAGCCCTTAGTAAGATGTGTTTGTTGGGGACTCGTTCGGTATGTTGATGAGTTTCCTGCTCGTCTCTTATGCTCTTTGAGATGTTTGCTCCTCACCTCTCTTTCCGTAGGGTGACCTTTGACGGCTCGACATTGGGGTTCTCCCACTCCATGTGCGGGCAGTGCATGAAGTAACACAGCGTGTAGATCGCTTCGGGCGCCCAGTGGATCACGCTGCTCTTCTGGTGGATCGGCGTCCCGTTGTTGTGGTTCTTCGCGTACAGCGGCTGCAGGTGGTGCATGGCTCGAGACACAAGGTCACCTGAACGCACGTGCACAACATACAGGGACACACAAAAAGGAACACCAGTAATGAGAAGGTACTCACTATGCAGGCATGAGTGTGAAGGAGTATTTAGAGCACACAGCATTTAAAAAGACGCCCCAAGACCGTCCTCGGTCCTGGGAAACCGAGAGTTTCTCTGCACCATAGTCCCGAAAAAAAGACGCCTTTCTGTGCTGCTCACTGGGTGAGGGAGAATAATCATGCTCAGGACTGCTATGGGGAAAATTTGTTTATGGGTAAACGTTAGCTACTCAAAGCTATTTCCCCTGCATAATTTGTCAGTACTCTAAGGTCATCCAGATGGGCTTTGAATATCAAAGCTTAAGAGGACTCTACTAATACAAAAATGTGAAAATTCTCCAGGCAGGTTTAAAAGAACGTTAACAGATCCTGGAAAAGCACGTTAAGCCCATTTTTGTGTACTTAAGGGACCAAACAGGCTGCAGCACATCCAGCCAAGAGCACCGTCCACTTCAAGATACCATAATCACAGACCCCAGCGAGAACAAACCATCATCCAACCGAAACCACTCATTTCCATGGACCCGAGCGGTTTGCTGAGCATCACAAGTCGGCCTTTTGACACCTGCCAAGATTCCATTTAACCCCGACATTGTGAGAGGCGGGTGTGAAGAGGGAGCGCATTCGCGCGTCCGTCTTCCTCCTACCTCTCGACAGTCCTTTGGGGACAAGAAGCTCGACTCGTCCTCTCGCCGTGTGTCACCCTCCCTCCCGAGTCTTTATCCTGATTGTACCGACGGGAGCACAGATAAGCTTGTACGACAGAGCCCGTCTTAAGCTCGGTGCGGGGCAGCCGAGGTGGTCAGCAACAGCTCGGCCCCTCATGTCTCATTTATGCCGGCCTGTGACATCTCCTGTGACTGGCAGGTAGGCGGAGGAGGTTTTAGATTTATTTCAAACAGCGAGAGAGAGTGCAGCTGTAGCAAAGTAGCGGCAGCTTAGAGCATAGTGGGAGACTGCTGGCGATCCTTTTGCTGCCGGGCGTTTGCAGAAATGACTGCTGAAAAAGCGGATTTACTCAAATGTTTTCAGTAGCGGTGAGGATTCTTTGTCGAGGACGGTCAATAGCATTCACATTATAACATGCAGGCCTTTAATCGATACCTCATCCTGGATGGTTCATTCTTTATGCTAACAAGAAGAGGGCCGAATCTCCCTTTCCTCTTCAACGCTTTCAAATCCCCTTAGAAAAGCGGAATCACGCAGATAAAGTGCTTTGATTTGCGAGGGATTTCATGACGTCTGGCACCTTTTAAGGTTGGTTACCGAAACTTCAATGCAGCACAAAAATAACAACCAAACTGCTCATTGCCTCAGGGACTGTGAAGGCAGGTTAAAAAGTGAGACAGAAAGTCTTTGGAAATGTAAAATTAACTCCCATTTGAATCAAAACAACTATTTTCAGGGCTTTACAGGCTAGTAAATGGGCAGTCCCCAGCGTCCCTTTGGGTCCTGATGAATGGTTCTTGGTTTCACTGTACAGCTGCGGCCACCATCACAGTTTCTGTGTTTCGATTATTTGCTGCCTTGCAGCCTCGACTACATTCATAAAAACCAACAGGACACAAGAAGCCATTCTTGCCCGTATTCAAGTTGTCCATTTAAGAGCAGGCCGGGCTTTCAGCCGCCGCCAACAAAGCTTAAGAAGGAGAGGAATAAACATGCATGAATCTAGTGCTTTTAAAAAGAAAAACAGAATCACTGAGACGGACAGCGGAGAGGCAACAGCTTAAGAGAATCAAGTGAGCTGTTTGAATATAAAACACTGCTTAGGAAATGACCCTGTTAATGTTGTTTGCCGTGGAGTGGATTTCCTCGTCATTACCCTTCTCTACTTTAACTTTCGGGGTGACTTCACATCATACGTTCGGAGGGGGGTGGGGGGTGGTGGGGGGTTGCAATCCAATCTGTACCGGGAAGAAGCACACAGGGTCCCTGCAGCGATCCGGGCACGTTAGTCTGCACAAGACGGCACAGCGAGTAATCAGGCGACGACTCTCTTGCTGTCGGACGTCTCGGGAATGTTTATTTGAGGAGCACTGGTGGATGCTGCGCACTCAGGGGAATGAGGACGAGATGTGATGTACATCCTGTTAAGTTCCATGCGGCTACGCTTCATTCTTTTCTTGCTCTATAGTCACAAATGAATTGCACACATTTATACCATCATTGGTTGCGTTTTGCTTTTCTCAATGTTTAATGATATCATCCGTAATTACACTAAAATGATTGCACCATTTCCTAAATGACTGCTACTTTTATGAGACAGGCATTCAAGTTAAGCAGTATTTTCAGCCTTCAGTGCATGTCTACAGGACCATTCAAAAATATGTATATACATATATATCTTACAGAATATGTGTATGTATAAAGATGTTAAGAAAGTGCTCTTGCTGCTGATGCTGCACAGCATGGCCTTTGAGAGGCTTACTGAGAGTACTGATGATGCCATAAGCAGTATATTTTATTAGCTACTGGCAGAAACGTGAGGAAAAGAGTCCCGAATGCAATGTCAAATGAGGCATGAAGACAAAGAAAAATCACAATTTTTGCAGAGGTTCTTTCTTGTTATTGTAAAATGTAATCTTTGCTGTGTCCGGGAACAAAAAATAATGTTCAAAAGTGTATAACTAAATCAACAAATAATGCTCATCGTATTAGTTTTGTATACAGAGCAATATCACCTGATCACCTGAGCAACTTCCACAAACTGCTGGTTGTTCAGGCTGCCAGATTCACAGTGGAGGATTTCCAGATTAATACCTTGCAGCTGATTGCTGACCTCTGGAAGACTTTGGATCCAAAGATATTGGGCGATTTGACGTTGTTTACACATTTAGGAATTATTTAGTCATACTATCCACGCACGACTATTTTCCTTCAAATATCTAGCAGACTAAAGGAGAATGGAGATAGTTGAAACGCTTCATGCAACTCAAATGTCTGTACAGTCGGTCATTGGAAAAACATTTTGTTATATGCACAGACCCAAGATAGATGTTCCTTTCTGTTTACAGTCATTATGCTAAGCTAAGCTAACCATCTCCACGGCGGGAACGAATGGACCATATTTCCCAAACTGTCAAACGGGAGGGGGGGGGGATCAGTGAATGATGCTGTCAGTTGTTGTGTGG